AGAACAGTGCCTGGCTCCAAGCAAGTGCCATGTAAGTGTTTGCTATGACAATTGCCATTAGGGGAAAACCCAGTCAGACGAGAACTGAACAGTTCCTCCACCGGCTGTGTGATCACAGGAAAATTAATTAACCTCTCTGAGCCTCCATTTCCTCACCCACTAAACAGAGAAAATAATACCCATCTATTGTTATGAAAGCAAGATAATGTATGCAAAGCAACTGACTTAGTCCCATGTATGCAGAGACCATGTATAACACATCCCTCTCCCCAGGCCCCAGCCCTGGGAGGCGCTCAGTTGCATGGAAAACTTATTTCCTTCCCCCACCCACCTTTCTCCAGCCTGGCATCATCCTCTGGCGCGAGCAGACAGCAGCATCTAGTGGACGGCTCTAGAACTGCATCCTTGCCAAGTGCCACTCCCCACGCTGCGGTACAGTCCTTATTTAAATAAGCCCTTTAAAATACACACTCTGGGGGCGCCTGGGTGGCTCAGTGGGTTAAAGCCTCTGCCTTCGGCTCAGGTCATGATCCCAGAGTCCTGGGATCGAGCCCCGCATCGGGCTCTCTGCTCAGCGGGAAGCCTGCTTCCTCCTCTCTCTCTCTCTCTGCCTACTTGTAATCTCTGCCTGTCAAATAAATAAATAATCTTTAAAAAAAATAAAAAATAAAAAAAATAAAATACACATTCTGCATTGGGCAAGAACTCATTAGGTGCCTGGAATACAGGACACAGATCCAGGACCTAAAGAAAATGAAGCGAAAGATACAAGATGACTATAGCAAGATGAAGGAAAAAAATCACAACTACAACCTTATCATCAATAACCTCAATTTTTAATCCTTAATTAAAGAAAATCCTTGGCACGCTGGAGAGTGTCTTCTTGGGAAGTTTCTACGATTACAGGAGTGATTTTGAAGTGTCCGTTTCATGTTCATAACTCAGTTAAGGTCAAAGCAACAAAATGAAAGCTTAAGTCAGAAAGGTGATTCCCCCCTCCCCCCGGTGGCCTGACTTAGCTTTCCAGCCTCTCCGTGGAGAGGGGGAGCAGGAGTGTTTGGCTCCAAAGCCCCTATTCTTCCACCCCACTCCACTACCCCTGCCCCAGACGTAAAAGAGTAAAGAGGCTCTAAAAGTGGCATGGATGACATCCAGTGGGAGGGATCAAAAAAGGCTTTGTGGAGGAGACACCATTTCAAATGGGCTTTGGAGAAGGAAGGTCAAGAAAGAGGTGGGTGGCTGGGGAAGGAAGGCAATCCAATATGATGGGCCACATGGTGTATAAAGTGAAGAAACAGGGCCATGAGAGTTAGGGTCAAATCCTAGAAGGCCCCAAATGATAAGTCGAGGAGGCTGCATTTAATAAAATCAGGGGACCTGCTGAATAAGGAGGTAATTGGATGTAAGGGGATCAGAGGAAAACCAGGGATACAGAAACTAGTTAGGTGGCTACCACAACAGCCAGACTTGACATTGGGCCCGCTGCACCCTGATGGAGAGGAGAGAAGAGGTACTGCAGAAGCCAGTGGGAGGCGGAGGTTCAGAAATAGACAGCAGTGAGTCAAATGAGAGGACCCGGTGAGGATTCAAGGGGCTGAGGCTTGGGGAGAAAGGCAGAGCTGTATCCAGAACGTGGGCTTGACCGGGGGGGCTGATGTGGGCCGGGGGTGGAGGCACTGAGCTGGGTTTTCAATAAGGAAAGTATGAGTTGCCAGCAAGCACTCTGAGATCAGCTCAGGAAAGGGGCTGAGCTGGAGGGAGAGGAGGCTGGGACAGTAATTTTGACTCACTTAGATGTGCAAGTGCCAGATGAAGGCTTGAGAGGGAGAGATGAAGGGAATCACATGGGGAGATGCGGGGGCGGAGGGTGGACACCACCCGGACACATCACGGGGCTCTCTGTATCTCAAAGCTTCCTGAGGTCAGGGGAAGAAGAGAAGGCACGGAAGACAGAGCAGGGACTTGTTACGGGAGGGAACTGGGAGACCCTGGCAAACATGCAGCCGAGGTCATGGAGGATCCAGAGGTCAGGATGGCCAGGAGGCAACCACTGGATTTGTGGTTGGGGGTCGCCATGAGTGACCCTGGAAAAAGCCATTTCAGGGAGCAGAAGTCAAGCTGCAAAGATTTAAGAGGCAAGAAGCAGAGGGTATGGGGGTGGCTCCCAGGAGGAAAGAGGTGATTGTGAGCAGGGCTGGCCTAGGGTGAGGCAGGCATCTGGGGAACAAAATTTAAGGAGGCCCTCACTCTCAGGGTCCTGCAGGCGGTCCTGATGAGGAAGGGCAGACGACCAGCCCCAGAGCTGTGGGGAGGTAGGGGCCCACAGAGACCAAAGGAAAAGAGAAAACCCAGTAAAAGAGACCCAGGCAGAAGTTAAGAAAACTCCCCGTCTTGCCAGAGGGTGCCCACTGGGAGAGTCTCAGAGGACGTGAAGTCTGAGTAGGGAGAGGTACAAGGAAGGACACAAGGGACAATCTGGGAGCAGAGACACCTGAGGAGGCTGAAGGGCAGGCCCGAAGGGTGAGGAAACAGGACAGGGAGGAAGGGAGAGCCTTCCCTGTGGGGGGCTGAATGGCGGCATCCAAGATCTGTCTATGTCCTAACTCCCCTCCCTCTGGAAACTGTGAATGTGACCTTCTTTGGAACAAGGGTCTTTGCAGGTTTAACTACACTACACTAAGGTTGTCAGGAGGAAATCTTGCTGGATTATCTGAGTGGGCCCTAAATCCTGTAAGTATCCTTATAAGACACAGAAGAGGGGAGGGCCACCTGGAGACATGCAGATGGGAGTGATATGACCACACCCAAGAGGGGCAGAGGCAGGGAAGGGAGTCTCTCCTAGGGCCTTCTGAGAGAGCCTGGCGCTCCTGACACCTTAGTTTTGGACTTCTGGCCTCCAGGAGGGTGAGAGGAAAGATTTCCGTTGTTTTCCGGTGCCAAGTGTGTGGCAAATTGTTAGGGCAGCCGCAAGAAAACGAATACAGTCCCCTGTTGTGCAGGATGACTGGAAAGCTTCTAGAGAAGCTTCCAGCCTTGAGTTTCTCCAAATTTAAACCATTCAGCAAGCAAGGGCAGTTGCAGGTCTGGCCAAAAGGTGTGTTTTTTAACTCACCGCCCAGACTCCTTCCAGACTCAGGTTTAATGCTTCATGCTTTCCTTTCAAGGAGGAAGGAGGGAGGACAAGCGAATGGCATCACATCCCACTGCTCCCAGAAGTAGAGTCTGCCAAGGGTGTTCTGCGACCCACCTTCCTCCTCCTTCCAGAGCTCGCACCATCCCGCCCAGGCTGGTCCAAAGAGCCAAAGCTGACCCGCACCACATTACGAAAAGCAGGGAGCTTTTTAAAAACAGGAGCCTGCCTTTCCGAATTTTTCCTTGCAAACAAGACCCCCTTTTCACAGCAAGTCTCTTCCCACCCCTCACATCATCCTTCTTCCTCTGCCTTCCCCATTCTTGTGGGGGCGGGGGTGGGCAAAATAAGATAGATACCCCTGAAGCACGGGAGTAGGAGGCACTCTCCCCGCCCTCCCTCCTCCTCCCCTCAACACAGCTGGAGGGGGGAGGGGAGGTCAGCAGGGTTCATAAAGGCCAGATGTTGAGGAGAAAGAGAGCAAAGCCCAACCCACACCGGCCCACCCTGCCCCCACCCTTGCCCCCCTCGAAGAAAAAAAATAAAAGAGACGGTTTTTTAAAACAAACAAAACTTTTGTGGCGCAAAACAGTTTTTCTCAAGAATCTGCTCTATGCAAACAATAACAACTTTTTACAAAGCATTTTCACAGAAAAGGAGACAAGTCCTTCCCCAGTATCGTACGTGGGAATTGTTCCTCCCTCACCCCGTTTGCGGGGAGGATGGGGGTGCTATTCACTGGTGTGGGCAGAGGGGCTCCCTGGGTCCTTCACTTGTCGGGCAGACCTACCACCTCCCAGGTTCCCCTCACACCTCAGCTTGGAGTCTCTCTCAGAGCTAACCTCCCCTGACCTCACCTGGGTGGAGGGGAAAGCGATTCCACCCCTCTCTGACTCTAGGGTATCCTCCCAGCTGCCGGGTGTAGTCCAGGCCTACCTCTTCCCCCACCCCCCCCCCCCAGAAAACAGAACCTCTGACCTCAAAACTAATCCCCTGGCCCTGCCCCCATCGGATCCATCAGGTCCCTGACAACTCCCGAAATGCCTGAAGTTAGGGGAGGAAGCTGAAGATGCCACAGCCCAGCTTCCATTCAAACCCAAACTTAGCCCCTTCAAGCCCCACCGGGCCCTGGAGGTTGGGGCAAGAACCCTTTCATTGACCGCTCTATAAGGAGCAGCTAGCCTCGTCTCTAGCCTTTGAGGGGGCTGTTTGGGTGTCCAAAGAATGGACCCAGGCCTGCCCTCTACCTCCACCCGCTCCCATCCATAAATCGGTGGAGAGGACCTCGAAAGGCAACTTGTTTGGTCTGATTTTATTGATTTCTTCCACCTTCCATTACTTTCCCTGGGACAGTCTCTGGCCCTTTCCCCAGGCAAAGGCTGCGCTTTGGGAGGGGAGGAGGTCCTCCAGCCCCTCCCCTCCTATAGGAGAAGCAAGCTGGGGAGGGGGCTGATGGATCCAGGGGGGAGGTCCTCTTTCACCCGTCAGACCTTATAAACTGAAAGCAAACAGGAAAAACTGAAGAGAGAAACTCCAAAAGTGGACAAAAGGGAAAGGCTGGTGGCTGAGGCTGAAGATCTGGCCAATTAGGGGTCACCTGCCTTGGTCAGGGGAGAGGGCTTAGGAAAAGAACGGGGAGGGGGTGATCGCCTCCTGGCCCAAGCTGCCCTCTCCCCCACGAAGGCTCCCTTGGGGCTTGGAGTGCTGGGGAAGGCCTGAGGGGAATGAAGGGTTAAAGGCCTGGATGGTGGGGGTGGGGGATGCCCCCAGGGAGCTGCCAATCACCTCCCCACCCCCACCACAGCCCCCTCATCCCCAGGCTCCCCCACAGAAACAACCGGTTTGTCCATCACCAAGGTCTCTCTCCCTCTTTTTTTTTTTCCTTGTCTTTGAGCGGTAGCCTCCTTTGCTCCCCGTGGGGTGAAGGCCCTGCCCCCAGAGATCCGAGATGGAAGAAGGGAGGGATTGGAATCTATGTCATTAAGCCTTTTTCCGTTAAGCCTTCTCCTGACTCCAGCCCTTGGTTCGTCTCCAAAGGATGAGGGGGAGGGGGTGTCACCCCAACCGGTTAGGTGCTTGAAGATCACTGTCATTTGAGGTCCCTCTGACCGCAGTCCCTAAAAGGGAATAGGCAAATGTGAGAAAGGAGGCCCCGTCCTCGAGCCCAAAGTTTGGCCGCGGCCCCAACCTTTCCCCTTTGGCAGAAGAGGTCTCAGGCTCAAAGTTCCTCCAAGTTGATCCCCCAGGATTTGAGGCCTGGGGGCTCAGGGACAGCAGGACCCCCTATCTGCCACCTCCACAGCGGGTGGGCGGGCGGGGGCTTAGAGTCTCCCTGCAGGCGAAGCGAGGATGCCGGCCCTAAGTCTCCGTCCTCCCCCACCACCAGGGCCGGGGGGCAGGGGAAGGAGTCGAGCAGGCTGAAGGTGCTCGTGGTAGGGAGCGTCGGTGCCGGGCGGCGGGGCTGTGCGCTGCGATGGGGGGGCGGCGGCCGCCGGCGTTTCTTGGCGGTTCCCCGGGCGGGCGCTTTGGCAGGCGGCCGCTCTGGCCCCCGGCGCAAACTCGGAGTGTCGAGAGCGAAGCCCTTCGCATAACACCAAAGTTTCGACCGGCGGATCAGACGATCGAAATGTTCCTGGCGGAGATCGCCGGGAGCGGCCGGAGCTCCGCTGGCCGTCGAGGGGCTAGCGGCTGGTGCCTCGGGGGCGGCCTGCGGGGGGCTTCCATCGCCTGCGGCCGTCTGGCCCGGCGCGGGCGGCTCGGGTGCGGCCCCGGGACCCGCGGGCTCGGTGGAAAGGCCCGCAGGTGGCGGCGGAGGCCGGGAACCGGGCTCCTGATGGGGGCTGGCGGCGGGGCCGGGCTGGAAGTCGAGACCCGAGGCGGGCCGAGGCGGAGCCGAGGCGGAGCTGGTCGGAGATTCCCGAGGGCGCAGGGGCGCTGGGCAGCGGCCGGGAGGTAAGCCGGAGCGAGAGCCGAAGTGCGAGCCGAAGTGCGGGAAACTGCCTCCGCCCTCTTCCTCCTCGCCGCGGCCCCGGCACACTGCGGCGTCCGCATCCTGACCGGCGGGGGAGTTCGGATCGCTGGACCGCCCAGCTGGGCCCGCGAGGTGCTTCAGGCCATCCGCGGCCCAGCCGCCGGTGCACAGGGGGGCGCGAGGGCCCAGCAGCACCGGGGGCCGCGGCGCCAGCTCCCCAGGCCCCAGGCCCAGAGAGGACGCCCGAGGTTTGGCAAGGGCGCAGAAGGCAAGGGCACGCAGGCACAGCGGAGAGAACTCTTGGGTCCCCCGACGCGGCTTCCGGGGTGTCGGGGAGCAGGGCGACCCTCGCGGGGACGCCGGCACTGCGAGGCGGGGAGCGGGGCACAGAGTTTCCATGGAACCGTCCGGGGGGGTGTCCACTGCGGGGGCCCTGGTCCCAGCGGCGGTGTGCCCTGGCTGCCCGAAGAGCCCACGGGCGAGGGGAACATCGCCCCCCCTCGACGGGGAGGTCTCTGCTCACGGGCGCCCCCGGCCCGCAACCCCGGGCCGCGGAGCTCCGGCTCCCTCCTCGATCTCGTCACGCGGCCCTCCCGGCGGCCGGACTCCTGGGTCCCTGCGAGTCCCGGCGCGGTCGGCCGCCCTTCCTGCCGCTGCGTTCCCTGCGCAGCCCCGGCGGGAGCCCCTCTCGAGTAGCCCAGGGCGAAGAGGCTGGGGAAACAAAGCGGCCGCCGGCCGCGGGAGGCGGGAAGGACCCCGGGCCCGGCACCCGGTGCCCGGGCCCAGGCGGCGGGGAGGGCGCCTTCCGCCCGCTCGGCTTCTTTCTTCCCCGCTGGCTCCCGGAGACCGCGTTATAGAGAACTGCCCCCTCGCTGCCCCAATACCAGCGCCGGGGCCGCGAGCCCGCCGCTGATTGGGCGGCACTGCCTGTGACGTTGGCCCGGACCCCACCCCTCCGGCGGCACCGCCCCCGTCCCCATTCCGCACACAGACACACACACGTGGACCCGGCGCTGCGGCGGCTGGGAGGGAGCGAAAGAGGGAGCGTGTGCAGGTGGGATCGCGAGAGGCAAAACGCGCCGCTGCACGTGGTCTGGTGGCGTCCGGCTATGCAGTTGTCGAAAAACAATTCGTTTTTCCCTTCGCAGTCACGGTTTTCACATCTGTAAAATGGGAATGTTCCTATCTACCCTCTTGGGGTTGCGCGAATGAACAGATGAATCACAAAAACGGTGTGGAGGGAAAAGATGACTTGAGGCAATGGTTGTTGCAAGCTTGGCACAGCAGGGATTCCTGCGGGCGGAGAATGTTTCCTACCTCTCCGTTCTGGTGCCCTAGAACAGTTCTTGGCACACACGGGGCTCAAAAAAATGTTGAAAAGTAGTTAGGAATTCAGTGTGTGCGAGATAAACAAAGGAAAAAATAAATTCGGAGCGGCGGGGGGGTGATATTATTACACCCACGGAAGACGATGTTAAGTAAACTTGTTTCTATTTCTCTAATGAGCTTCTAATAACCCCTTGACCAAATACCGAGGGGCTGGCTTTTCGGCCCCCCCTAAATACCAAGACGCTGCCCTCTGAAGCTGAGCGACCAAAATGCGCTGAGGAATCCAGAGGAGGGGACCCCCAGACCCTCTTATCTCTCCCAAGGAAAGTAAAGCAAAGAAAAATTGAACCCCCCCAAAAATCCTGATTATGAAAGACCACCTCTCCACAGCACATGCTATCCCCCTTAACTTTCTTTAGTTTCTGCATAGCTTACTGCTATATGAAAGTCTGTGAATGTAGTTATTCTTTATTGTCTGTTTCTGATTAGTCTGGAAATGAGCCCATGAGAACTTTGTCTTAATCACAGCTGCATCCCCATGGCCTAAAACAGTACCCAGACATAATAGGTGCTCCATAAATATTTGTGAGTGAATGAATGAATCCCTGGAATCTTTTTCTCTTGATAAAAATCAGGTTATTGGAATATGGCTGCTTCCTATCCCCAGAGATATAAAGAGATTGGTATGATAGCTTGGAGTAAGAATGTGGAAGTTGGGGAAGAGTGTCAGAGAGAGAATATCTCTTTCTGGAGCTGGGGTAAAACAGGGTTTCTGGAAGGGGGCAAATGATGTAGCTTGCATCCCTGCCCTCCTGGCAGTGATAACAGATGAATTGTTTTTTTTTTCCTCATCATCAAATCACATTTGGGAGGAAAGGGATTTAGGAAGGTCTGCCTCCCCATCTCCCTCTTGCAGAGGCCCCAGACAAAGGCCCTGGGGTGGAACCAGGATTTGAGGAACTAGAGGGCACGGTGTTCTATTGCTCCAAATACTCACGCCTTAGCATCTTCTGTAGAAGTCTTCAAGGCAGTTGTCATGAAGGGAGATCCTGGGGTCCTGCCAGGTCTACACCCCAGGGTTCCTGAGTGCTCCAAAAGCCTCAGCTCCCCTCCCCACCTTCTGCAACCTCCTTCCCCTGCCACACACAGGAGGAAAGTTCTGGAAGGATGATAGCCCACCTTCTGCAACCACCTCCCCCCACAACGCCACAAAACACCTACATGAGGAAAGTTCTGGAAGGATGATGATCTGCGCAGCTGTCTCTTCTGGGAGTCAATGCTGAGAACTCTCAGACTGAGATAGCAGTGACAGATTTCTTTGGCTTGAGGGGCAGAGGGCTTTTGCTTCAACCCCATTGTACTCCAGCCTCTTTGCCACTTAGATGCCTGGGGAGGGAGCTTGGGCCCCACCTATGGGAACCTAAAATGGGAAACTCCTCTTTATCTCCCATGGTCTCATTCATATTTGCATTCCTGTGCCTAGCACAGTGTTGACATAAGGAGAGAACACTCGAGATCCTCTTCAGTATGACTGCCTGACCGAATCTTACCCAGCTATGCAGATCAATGGCCTCCTCCTTCTCCCACTCCAAAAGCCTTCAGTCCTTCAGATCTGAGTTTAGGGGCTTTATTGGGGATCATTACCATTGGGAGTCCTTCCCTGGAGAAGGAATTCCCTCCACCTCCACTTTCCCTTCTCCCCATTCCTTGAATCAGGCACCCCAGAATACAGCCCAGGTGGGAACCCCTCCGTTGTGGGCATGGGAATACTTTACCAACAGTAGGGGTTAGTGTGACTATCTCCAGCTGAAAGGACCTGTAGTCATCAAGCCTCCTTTTTTCAGAGGGCTGGGACTGGGGGTTCCTGCTGTACATCCCAGGGCAGTCTCCGAGGTACTCTGAATCTCAGTGTCCTTCCCAGTGAAAAGGGAACAACAGTTGCTTCCTCACAACAGGAGGGTGGAAACACGATGTGAGCGGCTTGCCCAACTGTTGCAATTCCCACTGCCTACGGTAGAGGACACTCGACCCCGTCCTCAGGGGGCGAGATGAGGCGACACCGTTCTCTGGAACCCCTCTTCTCCAAAAGGAGAAAAGGAGGGACCAGGCTGGATGCCGGGTCCCATCTGACACCTCCGCAATAAGGGATAGGAAGGGCCTAGAGAGACCTGGAAGCCAGCCCTCCCCGCTCTGTGGTCCATCTGGGTCTCACCCAAAGGCCCCTGTTCAAGGATTTGGGAGCAGCTCCTGCTCAGTTGTCCTTTTCCCTGGAAAGAGGCACTGCCTGGAAGTAGCCCCAGAGTTCCAGCCCAGTACCGTAACTTCTAGAGCACTGACTGCATTCCAGTCTCTGTCTAGGAACTTTATGTTACGTAATCCCCATAACAATTCTAGGAGATAGGCACTATTTTTTTTTTTTAATTTTACATACCATACATAACCCGTTTTAAGTATCCAAGTCAATGATTGTTATTAAATTTACAGGGTTACACAACCATCACCAGAAGCCAATTTTAGAACATTTCCTAAGAAATCCCTCATCTCCAATTGCTGGTAACTCCCCAATCCCACCCCCGGCCCTGGGTGACTAATCTGCTTTCTGTCCGTATAGATCTGCCTTTTCCGGACATTTCATAGAAACAGAATCATAGCATATGTGGTCTTTGCGTCTGACTGCTTCACAAAAGCATAATGTTTTGGAGATTTGTCCATACTGTCCCTTGTACTAGTGAGTCTGTTTCCTTTTTCTCACTGAGTAGTATCCCGGTATGGACAAAACGTATTTTGTGTAGCCAATCGCATTTGGGTTTCCACCTTTCCGTTTTCATGAATAGTATGTTACAGACCCCGGCACACAAGTCTTTGTGTGGACATAGGTTTTCATGTTTTCATGAGTGGAATTGCCAGGACATATGGTAAACTTATACTTTAAAAAAAAAAGATTTTTATTTATTTATTTCACAGAGAGAGAGATCACAAGTAGGCAGAGAGGCAGGCGCGGGGGCGGGGGAGCAGACTCCCTGCTGAGCAGAGAGCCCCATGCGGGGCTCAATCCCAGAACCTAAGACCATGACCTGAGCCCAAGGCAGAGGCTTAACCCACTGAGCCACCCAGGCACCCCTATACTAACTTTTTAAGAAACTGCCAAACTGTTTTCCCCACTGGCCACAGCACTTTACACTGCTGTTAATATCCATGTTATAAGTAAGGAAAGTAAGGGACAGAGACTTTAGGTGACTTTCCCAAGATCACACTACTAGCAGGTGTCAGAGCCATGACTCAAAGCCAGGCAGAGAGGTCCCAAGACCACACTCTTAACCACAAGTCTACTCCCAGGACAACGAACCTAAAAGGGGACCCATTTCTTGGCCCACTGCAATGTGGCCACCACCATTTATGCCCATCTTACTTCCAGAATTCCCCAAGTCAGGCTCTGTTCCCACCCAGCAGTGCCGCATCCCCCCCATAGCACAAGCACACTTTACTCTACCCCCTCTGGAAATGTGTACCCATGATTAATAGCTGAAATTCTGGACTCAGATGGTCTGTTCCTATTCCTGACTCATCATCTTACCAGCTGTGTAGTTTGGGGGGCAAGTTACTTAACCTCTGCTTTCGTTTCTTCATCTGTAAAATAGAAATAGCATCTTCCTTCGTGCAATTCTTTAAAAATGCTTTTATTATGGAAATTTTCAAACCCCTACAAAATAAACAGAGGGGTACAATAAACCTCCATGTACCCAGCATCCAGCTTCAACACTTATCAACCCATAGCCCATCTTGTTTCATCCTTACCCCTACCCGCTTCCTCCCCTACTCCCATTTTAAAAAAATCAACTTTACTGAGGTATGATTTATATAAATTAATGCACATTTTAAGTACATACTTCAAAGAGTTTTCATGAATGAATGTAACCACCACAATTAAGGTATAGAACATACTCTGTATTATCCTGAAGCGAATCCCGGACATCATACAGTTTCTTTCCTAAGTATTTCAATACATATTTCTACAACATAAGGACTCTTTAATTTTTTAAAAAGATTTTGTTTATTTAGAAGAGAGAGAGAGTACAAGCAGGGGGAATGAAAGAGGGAGAGGGAGGGGCGCCTGGGTGGCTCAGTGGGTTAAAGCCTCTGCCTTCAGCTCCGGTCATGATCCCAGGGTCCTGGGATCGACCCCACATCGGGCTCTCTGATCAGCGGTGAGCCTGCTTCCCTCCTCCCCCCAACCTGCTGCCTGCCTCTCTGGCTACTTGTGATCTCTGTCAAATAAGTAAATAAAATCATAAAAAAAAAAGAAAGAAAGAAAGAAAGAAAGAAAGAGGGAGAGGGAGAAGCAGGCTCCCCACGGAACAAGGAATCCCACATGGGACTTGATCCCAGGACCCTGGTATCATGATGCCAGCCAAAGGCAGATGCTTAACCAACTGGGCCACACAGACATCCCCAGACTCTTTAGAAATAAACATAACCCCAGTGCTACTTGATAATAGTGACCTAAAAAGAATTAATGCTCACTCTTTAACATCCTCGAA